TGGCGTTCTTTAGTGAGAAATTGAGTGGTGCAACGCTCAACTATCCTACATACGACAAGGAGCTCTACTCCTTAGTTCGGGCATTACAAACATGGCAACATTACGTCTTGGCGAAAGAGTTCATCATACATACAGACCACGAAACCCTCAAGCATCTCAAGGGTCAAACTACACTCAAGAGACGACATGAAGGTGGTTGGAGTTCATCGAGACTTTCCCCTACATCATCAAATACAAAAAGGGGAAAGACAATGTCGTTGCCGATGCATTATCTAGGCAACATGCACTCATATCCACCATGGAGGATAGGATGTTTGGTTTTCAGCATATCAAAGAGCTATACCGCAAAGACCCTGAGCTTGGAGACATCTACGAGGGCTGCGAAAAAGGAGCTCAAGGAGCATACTACAAAGAGGGAGACTACCTATTTCGAGAATGTCGACTATGCATTTCTCAATGCTCGATGAGGGAGCTTATACTCCAAGAAGCTCACGGCAGCGCTCTCATGGGACACTTTGGCGTGGACAAGACGCTCGATGTGGTGAAGGAGCATTTCTTTTGGCTACACCTCAAACGGGATGTTGTATGATTTTGTGCTCGATGTGTTCAATGCCATCAAGCAAAATCTAAGACACACCCGCACGGTTTGTATCTTCCTCTCCCTATTCCATCTTGTCCTTGGACTGATTTGTCGATGGACTTTGTTCTCAGACTCCCTAGGATCCGAAACAAGGACTCCATTTTTGTTGTTGTGGACAGGTTCTCCAAGATGGCGCATTTGATTCTGTGTGCTAAGGCGAATGATGCTTCACACATCGCCAATCTCTTTTTCAAAGACGTTGTACACTTACACGGATTGCCTAGGAGCATTGTATCGGATCGGGATTCAAAGTTCATAAGCTATTTTTGGAAGACCCTTTGGAGAAAGCTTGGAACAAAGCTCATGTTTTCCACTACGTGCTACTCTCAAACCGACGGTCAAACCGAAGTGGTTAACCGAACATTGGCTGCCTTACTCCGAGCTACCATTGGACGCAACCTCAAGAATTGGCTCGATTGTCTACCTCATGTGGAGTTCGCCTACAACCGAGCCACACACTCAGCAACGAAGCACTCTCCGTTCGAAGTTGTATATGGCTTCAACCCGCTGACCCCACTATATCTATCATCTATTCCAAACCACGACATGGTCAACCTCGATGGAGAGAAAAAGGCCGAGCATGTAAAGAAGCTTCATGCCAAGATCCGCGATAATATTCAACGCAAGACGGAACAATACATGCGACAAGCCAACAAAGGACGTAAGAAGGTGTCATTCGACGTTGGAGATTGGGTGTGGCTACACCTAAGGCCCGAGAGATTTCCAAACAAGAGGACTTCAAAGCTAGCACCAAGAGGAGACGGCCCTTTCCGTGTCCTAGAGAAAATCAACGACAACGCCTACCGTTTGGAACTACCCGGTGAGTATAACGTCTCTTCCTCCTTCGATGTGGCTGATCTATCCCCGTTTGATGCAAAAGATCACGTTTTGAGGACAAAACCTTTGCAAGGGGGAGGGAATGATGCGGTCATCGACTTGGACAACAAGGACACGGATGATCAAACGCTTGAAAGGCAAGGAGAGCTGGTTGCGGACGAAGGAGGAGATGCCTACAGCGATGAAGGAGCAGAACCTAATCTCACTATGCCAAGCATGCCCGAACCACCACTCACAAGACAAAGAGCCCGAAGCCTACGGACAAAGATCAATATTTTTGTGGAGGCATGGTTGCATAAAGCGATCGAGTATAATTCAATGGAAGCAACAGGGAAACATTTTGGAGCTTTCGTTGGAGAACACTTGAAGATTGTATTGGACAACTGAGCCGCCAAAAGCTACTTGACAATATGCGAAGTCCCACTGGCGAATCCGAGAGTCATCTTGTCTTTGGGGGACAATTAAGGAAGAAGACCAAAATCCAATCACATTAAGGACTTTCCTTAAGTGATTATATGTTGATTAACTTCTTTAATCACCCACATAGTCGTTCTTTAACTATCTTCATTATATTATTTTCTTTCCTTCTTTTAATTAGTCGTTATTTGTTATATTTCCTTTCCTTGTTAGCAACTTATTTTCCATTATTGTTTTCTACATTCTCAGCCTATTTAAAGGGCCTTTGTTGTCAGGAATAAGCAGATAATCATTGAATAAAAATCGAGTTTGTTTTACTCTTCTTCTTCTTGGTGTGTCCGAGAGTTTTGCAAGTGAGTGAGCGTGTATCGCCCTCAGTTGTGAGTGTTACTTGACGATTGTCGAAGGGATCTTCACTCCCTTTCGCAAAGTCTAAAATCTATCTTCCATCACTTCGGAAACCCTCTCGAGTGCCCTTTGGCCTGAGAATTTCCTCCATCTTTAGTTTGAAAGAGCCCTTCTTGGTGAGTAGCCCTTTGGCCTATCAAGACCTCTTCATACCGAGCCTAGTTCCTAGCTCGTGCGTGTATCAATAAGTCCCGTATCGCATGCATATTATCTCCATATTATTTGTGAATGTGTCTGAGCAACGCCGTTATAATCATCCGGTTAAAGACGATGTTTGACGCACTCAAGATACGCCACTCCTCATATCAAATACTCTAGATATCTCAGGTCAGAGGATGTAAGAAGGAACCGCTACATGAGATTCAAGTCATGACTCATGTCTATGTGACGATCTCATATAGGTCATCCAGTCATTCGTTCCCAACAAGTACCCATGATTGTGATATGCATCTAATGCATCAATCACACCTCATGCTGGCCTTGATTCATCATTTTTCCCATAATGATAACTGACCAGGGAGTTTAGAATCATTCTATAATGATTCAAGGATACCAATATATAACGATCATGCGAATTATATAAAGAAAAATAATGCATTCATAAACCAAATGAATCAATACAAAGTAAAATATCATATCACGGATCATCCTAAAGTATTACAACCAACAATATATTTGTTAATCTATGTGGATGATATGCTTATTGCAGTTGAAAGTAGGACAAGAATTTAGAAAGTGAAGGAGTTGCTCTGTAAACAATTCGAGATGAAGGAATTAGGAGAGGCTAAACGGATTCTTGGAACGGACATAACAAGGGACAGGAAGAAAGGGATCTTAACGTTGTCTCAAAAGGATTATTTGATTAAGGTGTTAAATACATTCAACATGTTGGATTCGAAGCCTATTCAGACAACAATGGAAGCGCATCTCAAGTTTAAGAAGCATCGAGAGTGAGGAAGATGAACTCGATACAGACTCAATTCCTTACCTAAATGTAGTGGGCAGCATTATGTACTCAATGATTGGGACACGTAGCACATTGCGTGGGACTCGTCAGTAGGTTTATGGAAGCCGGGAAATGATCACTAGTCAGCTGTTAAATGGATTATGAGATACACACGAGGGATTTTAAATGTAAAACTGGTTTGTATTCACTCAGAGGGCGTAAAGGTAGTTGGGTTTTGCGATTCTGATTTTGCTGCAGATTTAGATAGGACATAGATGTTAGATTACATTTTCTCATAGACATCATATAGGAGAAACATGTCGAGGTTTTGAAAATCAGCACAAATATCAGTCCAGTCGACATCTTATCCAAGACGCTGCCAGTGGAAAAGCTTCAGCAACCTTTACGCTTGCTGAATGTCACCTAAGGACTCATGGTGACAGACACTAGGAGAGATTTGTTGGGCAATCCACAGGAAACTCCTAACTATGGCAAGGTGAAGATTGTTAAGGAAAATGCCTAAGTAAAGGGAAGCTTCTGATTGATCAGAAAAGTTTAAGGTCAACAACACTTATGTGAAATTGACAAAATGATGTGTTTCGGATGAAGGACAAAAGGGGAAATTCGCAAGCTCTTGATTCTTGTACTTTTCTCGTTTTCTTCTCAAGTTTTCTCGGCTCGATTTACTTGATTGTAATGCAGAAAAGGAATAATGGATTGTCGGGATCTCTCTTGGCTATGAGTAAGATCGAAGTTGATCGGAGCACATTAAATCTGATCATGTCGCGGTGTGTGTGAGTTTCTCGTTCTCAAATTCTCCAAATCCGATCTTATCGATCACAGATTCAAGGAGCATCAATTTCGATACAAATCGATTCGTTTCATTTCGAGTCGAATCGATTCGTGTTGAATCTTCAAATTCTATTCGTTTCGATTTGGAGAATCAAATTCGATTCATTTCGATTCTTTCGAATCTTTAAATTTTATTCGTTTTGATTTGGCAATCAAATTCATTTCGTTTCGATATCGAATCGATTCATTTTGAATCTTCAAATTCTATTCGTTTTGATTCGGCGAATCAAATTCGATTTGTTTCGATTCGTTTCATTTTCTATTCGAATCGATTCGTTTGTTTTGGATCGAATAGATCCATTTTTATTTGAATCAATATTTTTAATAAAATTTATATTCTATACAAAATTTTTATCTTTCTCGATATTTTTATATATTATTTGGGTTTGATTTTTTTATTTTTGAATAAATCTTGTATATTTGATTTTATATTGAAATAGGTTATATATGATTTGGTTTGAATAATTCAGTTTTTATTTTGTTAATGGAATCAAAAATTATTTGTCATTAAAATTTCTTTGGGTAATCGGATGTTTTGGATCGAGATCCAAACTAATCACAAAGGCAAAAGCAAATAATGTGATTAGACTTTCCTCCCCAATTTGAGGCTCGAATTCAGAAGGCACAAAAGCTTTGCGTCCTCATTTCATCAGTTGAGTTACCCAAGTTAGAATAAATAATTAAGATTTATATCCATAATTTTAAATTTGTTGGGTTTACCCATTTAACCCATATTTTAAATGGGTTAAACCCTTCAAAACAATTTAATTAAAATAATCCAAATAATTAACCCAAATACATTTTTTTTATTAGATTAGGTTAGGTTAACCCGTTTAACCTAACCCATTTGACATCTCCGACCGTTTTTCCCAATCATGTTTCAATAGTTTCTACGTTGCATGCACAAAAACCGTTCATATATACTACATAATCCACTTTCCATTACACGGCAACCCCAAATTAATACACACGCACACATATATCTACTAAATACATAGGTAACGTTTTGAATGCACGCAAAAGACCAAAAGACGCATGAGTTCCCTCCATCTTTTGAAAATTGTAAAACGGGACTCAAAGTCCTAAATCTTACATTGTAACCCACACAATGTTATCGATTGGGAAGAAATGGCAGACAGGAGCAGACCCAGGTTCCATCTTCAGCACTTTGAACGCCACGTGGTCTTTGTCCCACGTGGACGTGTCCATGTGACAGACTGCAGGACCCACAACCCTCTGCCTGACCCCATCGGCCTCCACGAGGCTAACCTCAAAGACCCTGCTCCCACCTCTATGGCCATGGCAGTAGTAAACCACGTAAGGGTACGGCATTCTATGGCAACCCAACATCCTGACGCCGACCAGCTCTTTAGGAGCCTCTTCGAACGTGTAGTTCTTCAGCGTGTAGCTCACGTTCTTCTCGGACAAAGCTTGGAATCTTGTCGTCAATACCCTGAGTTTGGTGTCGTGCCCTAATGTTTCTTTGACGAGATCTAACATAGACTCTAACGAGGTTGCACAGAACTTCACCTCGCCTTCAATGGTTTTCGCATCACAGTGTCCTAACGTCTCTTTCATGGCTTTGCCCTGTGGAGAATTCTTGGAGATGGAGAAGTAATGGAGCAAGAAAGATAGTTTTTTTCTCGAGAAAGGAATAGAGTCTGCTTTTTCTTTTGAAAGAAGAGGCGGAAGGTTTCGAAGGCTGTTCTTGTAGAAGTAAATGGGCAATTTCTTGGTTGTTTGCAGATCATCAATGGAGAAATACATGTATAAAGATGGGTCATCATTATCATCATCATCATCATCTTTCACTTTGTTCATAGGTGTGAGCAGATGGCCATTTTCTCCTTGTTCCTTTGTTGGTATTGAAATTAACTTCCTCCCCATTGTTGCCTCTGCACACTGCATTCAAGACACGCATAATCGGTTAAACGTACCGGACCTAAACTGACCGGTTTGGATAAAACCCTTAAACATACATACATATATACATAGATCGAACAATACTGATCTACAAATATTGCAAAAAGAATAATAAAACAAAGAATTTCCCAAAAGAAACCTACATAACTTATGTTCTTTGGCCGATTCAATAAAATACAAGAAAACGCTCTCAATATGTAAGAAAATATCTTTGACAAAAAAAAAAAATACGTAAGAAAACATACACGCTTTATATGCATGTGCAAATACATACTTATATATGTGTGTATATAGGTGGAGATGTGAAGCAACGTACCAGAGAAAGGAGGAGAGTGAGGATGATGCTACAGAGCCAAGACGCAGCAGCCATGATTTTTCTCGAGAGAAAAATCTTGTCTGAGTTTTTTTTTTTCTTTCTTCTTCTTCTTCTTCTTCTTCTTCTTCTTCTTCTTCTTCTTCTTCTTCTTCTTCTTCTTCTTCTTCTTCTTCTTCTTCTTCTTCTTCTTCTTCTTCTTCTCTGACTGTTTCTTCGTTGTGTTTTTTTTATCCCTCGAAACAGATGGGCAGAGAAGACATAAACCTATTTAAGTGGTCTTAGAGTGTGTGTGGATGCAGACTTGTCCATTATATATATATGTCCATTAATTGTTATATATATATATATATATATATATATATATATATATTGATGCAGATTTGTCCATTGTTATATATATAGATGTGTTGACAATTTGATGTAACTTAATTAGCATCTTTATTATAATTTGTTTAATTTTTTGTGAGGAAATAAATAGTTTGTTTATAAGCGAGTTGGATTATTTAGATCATGAATTGACAAAAAAAAAATGTATTTTGGGATTCCGTGTCATAATGTGATCCACCATATATACTTTTATTGATAGATTCCATAATTTATGACCGTCTTTTATTTTTTATATACTATATTCGGAAATTTTAATTTTTGGGTGGATGGATATTTCTTTATGTGATTTATTATCCTCCTTTTAGTTAAATACCGGGCTGGTTCTGACCTTTAAGACTATTGTGTATGTGCTAATCTATGACTATAATTTCTTATAATTTTGTACGAATTTGTGGTTATTAGGTCGAATTAAGTCGCAATTCGTTGCTTTGTTTGTTTATATTATAATTATGCTTTCCTATGTATTTGATGTGTACATATATAAATTTTGTTTCGTATAGCTGAGGTATATATGTCTGTTGCTTCCTTGATTATTTGACCGAAGAAATTATCCTTTTTTTTTTTGCGAATAATCTCTTCAATTTCACATAATGTCGATTTAAGATTAGAAGAATTCCGATTTGTATAATTTGAAATTATAAATTGTACAATTTTATGATTCTGAATGGTTTTGTTGTAAAATTTGTATAAAAATGGTACAAAATTTGATTATTTATTTAAAACATTTAATTTATAATCAATTTTATAAATTTGAATACGGGTTCGAATATCCTAAGTTTGATAGTTTAGTGACGAGTTCATTGGTTGAGGATACCCAAATCTCGCGAGAAAAGATAGAGATAATATTTTTATAATACCTATAAAAAGGAGAATAAGATAGAGATTTCATTATTCTTTGGATATCATATCCGTAACCACCCTTAATATATATCATTTAAAAAATTTGAAATAAAAATTCAAATTTTTATGTATTATTTTCTTTAGGTTAATCTTATCTTTATTTTAGAATATTCCATAATACATAAAAATCAATAGAATATTAAATAATATAAATTAAACTCGGGGGTAAATCTAATTTGATAAGATATAATAGTAGAATTATGAAACAAAAGAAAATATAATATAATATTTTGATATCGCTTGTGTTTGATATTAGATATTAAAAGATCGCATGAAAAATGGTCATTATCACGAAGTCTAAGGTACTCTTTCCGTAAAAGTTTGGTTGACGAAATGTGAAAATTAGACCTTTGGGACTTCAAAAGGATTAGAAGAAAAAATCAAATTGTTACTATTATAAAAAATTAAAAATGAAATAAAGACAACATGGGACATTGATCTTTCATTGAACTTAGTCGAAGCATAATTGACCTAATAGTGCGTACCAATGAAACACTATGGCAGCTCACATCCCACTATATAAAATCGTTGACTTTTAATGATCTTTTCTTCTCTCTTATTTTTTTAAATTAAATAAAAAATAAAATTAAATCACGCAAAAATGATAAGACAATATGAATTTTACAATAAATAAACGGATAAAACTCATAAAAATTCTTGAAATCTTAAAATGTGGAAAATTTATTCCTAAATTTTTCACTTTACAAATTTATTTATTTCTAAATTTAGAAATAAAATTTTCAAACGAAAAGTTTAGAATTTATTTTTAAATTCAAATTTTTTTTATGGATTTTATCGTAAATCAATTACCAAAGCTTTAAAAAAAAGATACGAGTTGAGAATTATTTTTTATTTTTTTCTTTGAATCATATTTGTAGTGAGAAACAATATTTATCATGCAACTTTCTTTTCCTTTATAAGAATCAGAAAAAACTGGAATTTTTCATATAAATGCATACTTTTTCTAAAACCTAAAAAGTGATACAAAAATATACGAATTTGAAATATAAAAAAACACAAAGATTTATTAAAATATTTTCAAAGTACTATACTAAATCTAAAGGTGTTAATCTGATAATAGTTAATTTTCGACTTGGAAACATGCCAAAAAATCCGTATCAATTAACGCCATGTCAACATACTGACATCAGAAAATATTATATCAATAATTAAAATTAAAAAAAACAAAAAATTATATAGACAAGGTACACATATACATATAGATATATATATAGAATATACGTACTTATACATACACATATATATATACATGTATCTATGTGTATTAATTTGAGAAATTTTTTAAATTGATATCTTTTTTAAGAGATTACATGTTGATATATATATATATATATTACCTTTTAATAAATTAATGTATTTATATGAGATTTTCCAAAAAAATACAATAACAGGACGGATTTTTAGTTAACAAATCTTAGTTCATGTAGAAATTAAATTAATATCATGTAACTTGATATCAAATCTGACAAATAAAAAATTAATTTTGTTCACCTAATGGGATATATATCGTTAGGTATAATTGTAATTTGGGAAAAAAAACAGTTTTGATATTGATTCATTGTGCATATATTTTTTTTTTATATTTGTGATTGTTTAGGTGAGATTCGAATTCGGGACGTGGGACAACATTTTATACTATCACACCACCTGACCACCACGTCTAGTTTCATTGTGCATATGTATCCATACTTTTGTGTAAAACCCTTTAAAGCATGTATATACATATATAATGGAAAACAAAGTCCTAATCAAAATGGATAGAGATAATATATAAGATGTACTAAAGTCGATACATATATATACAAGAATATTTATATTCTAATTCAGGATCACCTATAAATCTGTAACCTTTTAATATATCGACGTAACATATCATTATATACATTATGTGCATAAATAATTTAAGTAATTTAAATTATAATAATACTTGGAATTTATCATTTTTGGACTAATAACATTAATTAGTACGTGAAAAGAAAAACTAAAATATTTAATTTTTGGTTGAAAAATTCAATCCATGTTACTGTTTTTCAAAGTTAAACAAAAATCAATTTATGTCTAAAAATATATAAAATTTATCTAATAGTCTTTATTTATGTTAGATTTTGAATGAGATTTTATGTCTGTTTAACTGAGTTAAAAAATTGAATGAACAATAAGATTATTCCAAATGACAGTTAAAGATCATTAGTAATGGACATTATTCATTTAATATTAGTGCATGATGGAGAAATCTAAGTTGACTTTGATCTTTCCTGTTTCCAACAAAGCCAATGACTATTAAAATAAATAAAAATATATTTTTTAAAAATAATATTAATTGATGGATGAAAATAAAGGTTGTGACAGCGAAAAAAATTGGAATATTTTATACCCTGAGATATGCATGCATGGACTTAGTTGATTGCCATGACTCATGATGATTATCCATCCAATTAGGGCATCAATATCAAGAAAATGAGCCTATTTATCCTTTTGATTTTTTTTTATAATTTATTTGAATTTAGTGCCCCCATGTTAATTTAGTATCTTGGAAAGAGATTATTTTATTTTTTAAAATTTAGTGATTTAATTTTATTCCCTGTAAATATAAAGGTGCAGCATTTAACTTCATAATATTTCATAAACGTGGTTAGTATTTAAATCTCTAACCATATATTTCGAAATAAAGTGTTAGCATTGTTATTCAATTTTTTGTCTAATGATCCTGATAATGCTTTTATAATCAACCTATCGTATTTCATTAGAAAAATATCTTATATATTTTCGCATTTTATAATTTCAGTATTAAAAAGATTTATATTATTAAAATGTATGTTTTTACTATATTTCAACTTATAATTTGTTATTGATTACTAAATTTAATTTTCACTATATTTCATTCATAATAATTAATTTATAAAGAATTTACAACAAACTCAATCTATTCGTACATACTCGAATACAAATTTTAGTATACTCTTTTTTTATGTCATAGTAACTATGAAAAAAGTCATAGTAAACCTTTTACAATAAGAAATTGTTTACTTCACTTAAAGCTTAGTTTTATACAGATCTCATAGTTAATAAATTTATAACCAATAACTGTTACTTTAATCTCAACCAAATTTTCTAATAAAGCATTGATTATTTAATTCAAAGATATCTTTTTTCAGATATTCTTAAAATTTTTTGTTAATAGATGATATTATCTCTACCTCAATCCCTATCCTTATAATATGTATTGCAAAACAAAAAAACAATTCAAATTCAAGAAAAGTATTGGAAATTATATGGCAGATTTTGTATTTCTTTGACTGTGTATGAAAAAAAAGATATCTAAATCCACTTATTACAAGCACTAGGACATGGACTCTTTTACTTTGTAAAGTGGAAGATGGGAGTGATGATTACACATGAGTGGGAATGCATCGAAGCAGCGGTCTCGGAATCTTTAGACAAAGTTTTCAATGCCACAGACAAAGTTAGCAAAGTACTTTGAAGGTCTGGCAAAAAGCGCCATCTTGTGTTAGAGGACAATAATATATATATATATATATATATATATATATATAATACAACCTATAAAATTTTTATATTTGTAAAATAGTGGAAATTAATTCTAATTTTTTCTTTCGATAAATTTATTTTCAAATTTATAAAATTATCATTATAATTTATAAACTTGAAAGATCTGTCATTATAATTCTCAAAGTGATTTATCAATCAATATCGTCGAAATTTTTTCTGGCATCAATTAATAAGTTTAGAAATTATAATGATATATTTGGTAAGTTTGATAATAAATTTGTTAAGCGAAAAATTTAGAAATTTATTTTCCATCATTTTATAAATTTAAGAATTTTTAT